CCCCCCCCCCCGCGTTCCAGTCGCTCGTTTATGATGTAATAAGCAGTGGCCCAGGGTGTGTTGCGGGCCTGGAAGTGTTCGCCGGTCCTGGGTTTGAACTCGGGGCCTCGGCGCCCTCCCTCACCGCCCCCCCCCCTCAGGGTGGTGCTCTACCACTTGGGCCACAGCTGCACACCCAGCTTTTTGACGGTCGCTTGAAGATAAGACTCTCATGGCCTTTCCTGCCGGGCCGGCTTCGAACAGTGAGCCGCAGATTTCAGCCTCCTCAGTAGCTAGGGCTGCAGGCCTGAGCCAGGGGCGCCAGCCAATGCGTTTGTCTTCATGCGGTAAAGGGATCCAGAGTTATCCTATCTGCCATCTTTCCTCTTCGCACTTTGACCTTAGGTTGCGCATGCTCAGTGATGTTTGTCTTGAACCAAGAGTCTCCTGGAACGTGCCCATCTCCACATGCATCTGTATGCTCCCCTCTGGGCAAACTCCCCGGGCTCTTTTCCAACCTGTTGCGGGTCGTAAGTGTTCTCCACTCTTTTATCTCTTGAGTTTGTTTGGGCTTTGCACTCAACCAGATACAAACACATTAATCAGAACATCTCTCCTGCGGGGGGGAACTGAGCTGTTGTTCTTTTTCTAGGAAACCAGAGTTCACCTATTAATAATTCATCCTGACCGCCTAAACAGGCTATGGACAACCATCTCAATGCTCCGCTCTTCTGTTAACCACAGTTTACTAGGCTGCCATTGAGTTTTGAATAGTGACTGATGCTTTGGTCTACAGTGTAACTTCTGTGGGAAATGTGACCCTATTTGGTAATTCTTTAAACACTTCCCATTCACTAGTAGCAGAGTGTTAGTGCAAGATCCTAGGCTCTAGGAATCCAAATAGACTAGACTGAGGCCACCTGTCTCAAGATCCTAGATACTAATTTTATTCAAGAAGGCCGCATGGGAAGACAGAAAGTAAGCTTGAGCTTGAGTGAGAGATGGAAAAAATTAAGCAGCTTTTGGCCAACGTGTGGTTTGGTTGATCAGTATCTTAGTTCTGGGTTTTGCGAGGTCAACCAAGGAGTCTTTAATACTTGATGGGACGATTCAGGTCCCATGAGCCGTTTCCTCCTGTTTGTAGAGCATTATCATCTAGTAATCTGTGAAGCTGTGCTAATGCTAGATTCCAACGTGATTTCAAGTTTGTGATGACTGCAGATTTTCAAATACCCTTTTGTGAGTTTGGACTGGATGTTGCAAAAAGTGGTATCTCAGTTTCTCTTATCTTTGGACTTTAAGCCTTGGAAGTGTATGGCAAAGGTAATATATAATATAGGTTTAGAGATAGATATTCCTTGAGTTAATAATATACCTATAGAGAAGTAAGTAGTAGAATTAAGTAATTCTAAGACTAAAGAGGCAGATGCAAACTGAAGTGAGAGACAAAAGGGGTTCCTTGTGTTTTGTTGCTTTTTGTTGATGCAGTATTTTGTGTGTGTGTGTGTGTGTGTGGTACGAGGAATTAAACTCAGAATCCAGCTTTCTGCAAAGTACTCTACATCTTGAGCTCTGCCCCTCATCCAGAATATACGTATTTTTTCCTGGATTTAGCTAATTTGGGGATCAATGTGAAGAGTCAGTGATTTTGTTTTCTGCTGGTTCTGAGGCTTGAACTCAGACCCTGGGTGCTGTCCCTGAGCCTTTTTTTTTTTTTTTTTTTTGAGTCTGGTCGTGGGCCTGAACTCTGGGTCTGGGCGCTGTCCCTGAGCTCTTCAGCTCAAGGCTAGTGCTCTACCACTTGAGCCACAGCACCACTTCCGGATTTTTTCTTTTTGCTTATGTGGTGCTGAGGAATCGAACCCAGGGCCTCCTGCATGCAAGGCAAGTGCTCTACCACTGAGACACCTTCCCAGCCCCCTGAGCCTTTTTGCACTCAAGGCTAGTGCTCTACCACATGGGCCACAACACTACTTCTGGCTTTTTCTGAGATTTTTATTGGAGATAAGAGTCTCACAGACTTTCCTGTCCAAGCTGGTTTTGAACCAAGATCCTCAGATCTCAGCCTCCTGAGTGGCCAGGATTACAGGCATGAGCCACCGGCTCATGGAGGCAGCTTGTAAGTACCAGTTATTTCCACACATAGGTCACTGGTAAGCCAGCTTTTCCAAAAAGGGAGGGGTTTGATTCATCTATTATACAAGAAAATATCTGTAATGATGGAAGATCAAAATGTATTTGAAGCTAGTAGCTGCTGTTAAATGTAAGAATATCTAGAGGATTCAGACTTGATGGTTTGATTCTACTAAAGGGTCTTCTGAGAAGTCCATAACCACCCCAGGAATGAGAAGCTCCCTGTAGTTGCTGTGAGCAGAGACATGCACAATCATGTCCAGCTCCCCTCCACAGAGATGCAATCTCATGGACTTTTCTGCTTCAGCTGTCCTAGAATAGCATTCCTCCCATATAGCTTGGGATGACAGGTATGGAACACTGTCTATGTGCAGGGAACTTTTCCACCTGGGCTGGCCTCAAACCATAATTCTCCCAGCCAAATAGCTAGGGTTAGAGATGGCTCAGTCTGGTTCAAAACAGGCATTTTTATGTTATCAAAACTGATCTTTGATGAATATAGAACAATAGCAAACATGGAATCAATCTGATGTCTTTCAATACATAAAGAAAATGTGATATATACATTGAAGAGTACATTTATCACATACCTGTGATAAACATACATATTATATGTGATATGCATATGCATCATATGCATGCATTACATGTGTTGCATGTACTCAATATGCACACACATATGATACATCATATACATGCACTATCACATGTGTTATATATGTGATGTGTATGTGCATTATATACATGCATGCATGTATGTATGTATATGTACACATGTGTATGTTGCATGTAATGCATGCATATATTTGGCATACTATTTAGTCATAACAAGATAAAATCCTGTCCTGTCACACTTGTGAAAATGTGTATGGACCTGGAGAACATTATGTTAAGTGAAATAAGTCATGCACAGAATCAGATACCACATGATCTCACTCACAGGTAACTTAAAAAGTTGATCTCGTGAATATTACAAGTCGGCTAGGGATTTCCAGAGGGTGGGGAGAGCGAAGAGAAGAGGATGGGGAGAAGTGGCCACAGGTACAGTATTACATTTGAAAGGAACAGCAAGTTCTGGTATTCTGCTGTGCAGGAGGGTGACTAGTTAGCAGTAATGCACTGTACATCTCAAAATGACCAGATAAGAGGATATTGACTGTACTGATCAAAAAGTAATGATAAAAACTTAAGATGAACTTGATCACAACACAGTTTAAGATCCATTTGATCACACACAATGTGCACATAATAACTATGTATAATTTTATGAGTTAATCAAAAAGAAAAAAGAAAAAGGGCTGGCTTACCCAATAAAGTAATGTGCAATGGCACTTAGGGAATGAAGCCAAAGCCAATGTGGAGACTCAAGGAAGGGGGAGGTGGAAATGCCAGCAACACTCAACACCTAGGAGTGTGAAAAACAAGAGAGCAGCTTGCAGGTTAGGGTCAGCAAAGCCAGAGACAACCAAGCCACTGGGAGCCCAGACCCAACCACAGTGTGCCTCAGATATCAGGCATTGAGATTCAGGAATGGTGTTTGCCCTGCTGAGTTTCATCCTGGCTTTGCTTTGAGACTTCCTTTTTATTTCTCTATTTTTACTCTTTGGCAATAAGAATGTTTACCTACCCCCTCATTTTGCTAGTATATCTTCTTGGTAATGTGATTGCATCTTTTTGGTAAGGTACTTTATTATTTTTACAGAGGCTCACATTTGAGTTTGCCTTAAGTCTCTCATGAGATTTTGGACTCGATCTGTTGGGACAGTTAAATTGTGAGACAGACATGAACCTTTGGGCCAGTGGCAGGATGCCATAGCTTGGATCTGGAAGGTCCTCCTAAGGCCTTTCTGGTTACGACTGGCAGCCACAGTGGTGCTATTGAGAGGTGAGAACCTTGAAGACCTAACAGGAGGTCCTCAGGTCACTGGAATGTGTCCTCAGAGGAGATCCTGAGATTCGAATGGTCTCCAGCTCCCTCCCAAACACCGCTTTCTTTGCTTTAACACATAATCACTTATTTGCTCTTTTCTAAGTAGTTGTATAAAGAAGTTTCACTTCAGCAAGTCGGATTGTAAGTATAAAGCATCTTGCTCAATGTCATCCCTTCCATCATAATCCCTCGTCTTTCCCAATACTTGTTTGTTCATATGTCATGTACACCTGCCATGCTGCCCCATCTCTGTCAGCTTCACCAGCATTGAGCCAACGCAGGCACCACACCATTGAACCTCCAGGAATGTGAGAGAAACGGACCTATTCTCTCCTCAGGTGTTTCATGGCACTGTTGCGAGACAGACTAATATACAGTATTAGAAAACAGTACGTTCATGTAGTTATGTGTACTTTCCAAAATATAAAGTGCTAATCAGCTTTTAGTTACTGTAAGAAGTACCCAAGATGAAACATCTTACAGACAGAGAACGTTTCTTTGGGCCCACAATGTCAGAAGTTTCAGTCCCTTGTCCCTGGACCTTAATGCTTGAAACCTGTCGTGAAAGGCACTCCGTGGGGGGAAAGCAGGGTGGGAGAAGCTGTGCACTTCATGGAAGCTGGGAAGTGAAGAAGGAAGAAATGGGCAAGGGTCTCAAGATTCCCTCCAAGGTTCCACCACCAGTGGAGCCACTGGCTGAGGGCCAGGCCTTCAACACAGAAGCCTTTGGAAGACCTTGAAGGATAGCAGTAATACTGGTATTTCTGGGAAATACAGTGACAGGTGATTTTTCTCTTATCATGAAATGCACACATGGAATTTACTTCTATGTGTATGTGTGAATATCTTCTACACTTTTCAAATTTTCTGTCATAATTATACCAGAGTTCATCATTACAAAACACCATTTCATAACAAGTAAGTACAATAACAATGAAGAGAGAAGACACTAGAAATGTATTTGTGAAAATTTATTAATAAATCTTGCTTTGGGGAAACATCTGAGAAAACATTTTTGCCCAACTCTATAGCTTTCATCAAATACAGATCCATCTGAGGTAGCAGTGATCATCCTCTCAAATACAGTACCCAGCAATCTTAAAACATCATTCTTTTCATTCTTTTCCCCAAGGTCAGAAACCATATGTGTTTTCAAGGACTCCAAGCCATTTATTCATATCAGGCATACTTTAAAGGTACTAAAACTTCCTTCTATAAACACCAGGTGACACCCTATGAAGTATGGATACAAGTAAGGACCAACAATCTCTGGACAGGAATTGATCACAATATTACAGTGGATGACAGTGTTAAAAGTCATCCAAAGCTAGGGGGTGTTTGAAACATATGTCCCTAAAGGGTCTACATTTATGAACAAGAAAATTAAGAACTGTGTTAGTTTTGCTCTATAATCCATCTGAGGGCTGACAGGTGCAGTCAGATTAAAGAAACCAGACAAGCAGAATGTATATTCAGTACTTTACCATAAGTATGTCCAGCAATTGGATTCTTTTTAGTTTTAAAGAAAAGTGCTCTGTGGATCCCAATTGTACAAAGAATTTCCTTTTAAGAATTTTATTCTTAAAATGAATTTGATATGGAATTTGTTTCCAAGTGTCTAAATGATTGGAGAATATGTCAAGATTTCCCCTTACTTTCCAACACTTCTCAATGGGCCTTGGTTTTGTGGGATTTCTTAACTCGCCCTTTCTTCCCAAAGCATTTCCGACAGCCAAAGGCACAACATTTAAAGCTGAGGAAGGCCACTGTCAGCACAATGGCCAGAAGGAAGCCAATCACATCCAAGGAGTGGTACTGGTACCAGGTGAGGTCATGGGCTGCAGGGCGCAGGTGTGGCGCCCCCTTGTGCCTCATCACATACTCCACCCAGAACACAGCCAGGTCCAGGGGCTCAATGGGGCGGTCCTTGTGAAGGCTGGAGAGGCGCATGATGTTCTCCTTGTAGCTAGACACAAAGACAGTTAGTGAATGAGGGAGCACCTGGGTAATGCACGGTCCTCCCTTGCTGGCTTCCCAGTGGTAATGGCTAATCAGGGATTTTTGTTGTTATTGTTGGTTGTAGGGCTTGAACTCTGGGCCTGGGCACTGTCCCTGAGCCACAGCACCACTTACAGTTTGCTGGTGGTTTATTGGAGATAAGTCTCACGGATTTTCCTGCCGGGCCTGGCTTTGAACCATGATCCTCGGATCTCAGCCTCTTGAGTAGCTAGGATTACAGGCATGACCCACCAGCATCAAGCTATGTGTTTTTTAATAACCAGAAAAGAACATACATGCATGCATGTGGTTGTGAACACACACACACACACACACACACACACACACACACACAGAGATACATGCTCTCCATTTGTTTAAAGAAAAACGAAGAAGGTGAGAGAAAGGAAAGGAAGAAGGGAAGGAACTGGAAGCCAAAGTTACAATTTTAGAAATATTTAATCCTTGCTTCTACACTCCTTTTAGAGATATTTGTATTGGTATATAGAATAAAGAACCAAGAATTTTATAAATTATTGAATTGTACTTTGTAGCAAAATAGAAAATGTATATTTTTAAATAAAGGAAAAAGACATGCAGAAATTGCCAGTGGCATCCCATTTGAAGTTAAAAACAACTACATCTGGCCAAAACAAAAGTCATTTGAAAGTGCCAAGGTTATGATAAACTTCCACTCAACTGTTGACACATTGAATCATGTGCTAACTTGAGGCTGAGGTGGTGTCTGTGTGGCCTCTTCTTGGGAAGAGGTTGCTGTTTGCTTTGGACAGTGGAGGTGGTGTCGGTGTGGCCTCTTCTTTGGAAGAGGTTGCTGTTGCTTTAGACAGTGCTGATGGCTGAAGCAGAACAACTGGGTCTGAAGTGTGGTGATGGCTCAGCTGTGGGTGTGGACACATTGGAAGAAGGAAGTGGAGCAGGAGGAGACTGAAGAAGGAAAGAACAAAAGGAAAGGCAGAAAAAGGAAGACAAGACACTCCTCAGTCATGACCATTGCTGTGCTTAAACATAGCTCTCATTGGGCTGGGAAGGTGGCTTAGAGGTACAGCGCTTGCCTTGCATGCATGAGGCCCTGGGTTCGATTCCTCAGCACCATATAAGCAAAAAGAAAAAAGCCAGAAGTGGCTTTGTGGCTCAAGTGGTAGAGCGCTAGCCTTGAGCTGAAGAGCTGAGGGACAGCACCCAGGCCCAGAGTTCAGGCCCCATGACCGGACTAAAAAAAAAATCTCATTTTATTTGGGTAAGAAATTACAATATTAATAAAAATATCTGACACATAGATGTCCTGGTACACAATTTCCTTTTATATAGATATTCTCTGGTGGTAGATTTTTTCTTAGAGCTTCTCGCCGTTTAATATTTACTGAATGCTTATTGTGGCCTAGTTGTCTGTACAAAATGATTTTTTCAAATTTTCTGTTTTTCCTCATATTGTAGAAGTATACTTCCAACTTAGGGTGTTGCAAACGTGGGGACTCAATCAGATATAAATGAGTTAAAAATAAATGTAGAATTGTGCTGTGGCTCAAAGTGGTAGAGTACTAGCCTTGAGTGAAAAGCTCACGGACAGGGCCCAGGCCCCTGAGTTCAAGTCCCATAACCACCCCAAAAAAGTTTTAAATAAGAACATAAATTAACTGATTGGTGTTCTTGTAAATAAAAATGTCTGAGGGAATGTCTTCCAAGTCATTTTTTTAAGTTCCAAGTAGTAAGCTATAAGGTTGAAGAAAGGATGAAAATGATAGGAATATGTAAAGCTCAAAAACAAGTTTCATCAGCATCTGGAAGAAGTTGGGTGCTGACTGTGATGTGAGAGCTGAAGGTCCAGATGCTGACAAGCCAGGACACAAGGAGACAATGGGAGGGAAAGAATGAGACCCCACCGTCCTGTGCTAGGGTTAATGGCTCTTTCTAAAGGAAGTAGCTATGGGTTTAGCAATGCTATGGTTTGGTGTATCTCCCATTAGGTCATGTGTTGCAGCTTTGATTCCCAGTGCAATAGTACCACGTGGTGAGGGAGCCTTTAAGAGCTAGTTATCACAGGATTAATGCCTCTCCCACAGGACTAGGCTAGTTACTCAAACGCACATTGTGATGAAAGGAGGGTGCCCTAAGAGGGTTTTTTGGTTTGGCTTGGTTTGTTTTGGTACCAGGTTTGTACTTGCTAAGCTCCGTGTTCTACCGCTTGAGACATGCCACCAACTATGACTCTTGAATTTTGTCTCTCACGTACTAACACCCATTTCCTTCTATTTTTCTGCCTACTGATGGACACAGCATGTCACCCTCAACAGGAATAACTGCCCCGTCTGGCACCTCCCAACTCAGAACAATGAGACAAAGTTCTTTATGAATCATGAGGGCTCAGGGATTCTATGATTACAAGAAAAAGCAAGCTAAGACAACACCCCTAAAACTTGTATAGACACACACATGTATACACACTCTCATAGGCAATACACACGTGCACAGATATTTGATGTATATACACACATTACTACTGTTGGTAGAAATCTACCACCAGCAATCATTTCATCCAATAAGGTTTTGATCGTCTATTTACCAGGAAACTTACCGGCAATACACTAAATTTCACACAGAGATCATATGCTCCAATGTTTTGTGTTTTGAAGTGTTTAGGGCCAATCTTTGGCTAAGTGTATCTTTGCTTTTGCTCTAAGCTGTGGTCTGTGATATCCTCTAATTACCATGTTTACAGAGCCTCATGGAAAAACTATCTCACAATTCCCAGGGTGACAGAGGGTTTAAAAACTGGCTTGTTTTATCTTATGGACACTGCTTATCTTCATGGAATCTTCCTTTTTGGAAACTTTTGACCTGTCTATTCTGGTGACATTGTTGTTGTTGTTATATATTAAAGATGTAAATCTACCAGGAAAATTGTTTAAAGAAATTCTATGACAAATCATATAGGAAATGTCCAAACCCTGAGGTGTCTTAATTATAAATCTGGATTTTTGATTAATTAGAATTTTTGCTTAATCAAAATTAAAGGAAGTGGATGTGATCAAAATGTATGCATAGGTGGAAATAAAATGATGAAATTCATTTGTATAAAATGTTAGTAAAGAGAGAAAAATAAATCAAGATTTCTACAGATTGGAATGTGTATGCTATGGCTGGATTACAGGTACGATTTTTTTTCTTAACTCTTACCTTTTGTCATTGATGACTGCTTTGAGTGCATTTGCTAAGTCATCAGAAGTCATTTCAAGTACATTCAGAGTCACGCCAGCCCCCCGGGTCTCCATGCGCTTTGCATTGTCCATCTGGTCACCAAACAAGGGCAGCATGACCATGGGGACGCCATTGCAGATTCCTTCATAAATGCCATGGGAGCCAGAGTGTGTGATGAATGCCCGGGTCTTTGGGTGACCTGAGACGCAAAGCAAGGAGGGAGACTGTGGGCCAGTGGCTACATTTTCTAGTCTGTTACTGTCTAAATTCTGAGAATACCCTGAGAACCCATTCATGTTCAATGCTGCACTTGACAAAATGATAGGGAGAAGTTGAAGCTTGACACACACACAAAAGATAAAAAGCTATAGAAGATATTCTAGCCACAGTATGTTCAAGTTAACCAATTTTTTTTTTGTCAGTCGTGGGTCTTGAACTCTGGGCCTAGGCGCTGTTCCTCAGCTCTTCAGCTCAAGGTGAGCGCTCTACCACTTGAGCCACGGCGCCACTTTCAGGTTTTTGAGTGGTTTATTGGAGATAAGAGTCTCACAGACTTTCCTGCCCAGGCTGGCTTTGAACTGTGATCCTCAGATCTCAGCCTCCTGAGTAGCTAGGATGACAGGCATGAGCCACCAGCACCCAGCTGCAATTCTCTCTTAAAACCCATGTCTAGGCCATTTTCTTAATTTAACCCCAAAGTGATCTATACAGCAAATTCTCCCAACATACCCAGCAGATCATTCTGGGGTAACCACTTGACAAGTATTGTGTTGTTGGCAAGATTTGATGGTCGACTTCCAGTGTAGCGCCACAGGACCTTGCAGAGACAAAAGGGACAAGGTTTTATAAAAAGAATATATGGTTTTTAAAGAATCTGTTGTACAAGCTAGGGGGGAAATCTTCTGTAGTTGTGGTGTGTGTGCTTCCTCACTGGATCTAAAGTGTCTACTCTTAATTTCCTGCTAAGTCTTCCTTTGATTCTCTATTATTTGAGCTAACATTGTAATATCAGTTCTTATGGTTAGAGTTTGCTAAAGATGGTGGTATGTGGTGCGAGTTAGCAGAAGATGGCAAAATGGATGAATTATAGAACAGAATGAACAGAAGCTGTGTAAAATGGGGGATGCAGTGAGAAGACTGCTTCCTGGCCACCCTTCTTCGTGGGGCTTGGTGGCAAGAGTGTGCTCCCGTCTCCATGCACTAGCTCGTCATCTACACCTCATGATGTCTTTTAATTTTCTTCACTTCAATGAGAAGTTTACTTTATAAAACAACTTGCCTGCAGAACTTTCCACACAAAAACATAGGCTAGACACTCACTGTCCTAACCAACTTTTTTTTTGAGAAACTGTCCTATATAATATGAAGAACCAATACCATGTTAATTTTTAACTAAATTCTCCATAACACTTTTTTTTACCAGTTGTGGGGCTTGAACTCTGGGCCTGGGCGCTGTCCCTGAGCTCTTCAGTTCAAAGCTAGCACTCTACCACTTGAGCCACAGTGCCACTTCTGGTTTTCTGGTGGTTTATTGGAGATAAGAGTCTCACGGATTTTCCTGTCCAAGCTGACTTTGAACAGCGATCCCCAGATCTCAGCCTCCTGAGTAGTTAGGATTAAAGGCATGAGCCACAAGTGCCCAGCTCCATAACACTTTTGATTCTCTTTGATAAGAAAAAAAAAAACAACTTCTGAGTGAGATGGACTATCATTTAAGAATAGTTAAGAGGGGCTGGGAAGGTAGCTCAGCGGTAGAGTGCTTGCCTTGCAAGCATGAGGCCCTGGGTTCAATTCCTCAGCACCACATAAACAGAAAAAGCCGGAAGTGGCGCTATGGCTCCAGTGGTACAGTGCTAGCCTTGAGCTGAAGAGCTGAGGGACAGCACCCAAGCCCAGAGTTCAGGCCCCATGACCAGCAAAAAAAAAAAAAAAAAAAGAATAGTTATGATTTTTAAAATTCAGGTTAGCAATTAGGAAATGACAGCAGATGCCCAACTGATTGAATGTATTGAGATCCTGAAAGTTTGGGGTTAGAACTTTTTGAATATACAATTAAGTAATCAGAAAATTGTCTTACTGTCTGAGGTATTTGGCCCAGAGCTTCAGCAATTGCCATAGCTTTCTTCTCTGGAATCTCTGCGACCATGGATCCCAAAGAGAAAACCACAATCCCATGTTCTCCAGAGGCGTTGATGTAGGCTTCAAATTCCTACAGCCAAAAGAGAGGTTTCCAGTTCACTTTTTCTCATACTCCTTAGTGTGATTACATAATTGAACTCTGAGCAACATTCCTGCTGAGAAGGTGTTTAAATGCGTCTATGAAATAAAGACAAGCTTTTAAAAAAAAAAAAACAAACAAAAAACAATCCACTATATAGTCTAGGCAAGCCTTGAACTTGTAATCCTCCTGTCTCGGTCTTCTGAGTATCAGGAGTTCTGGTGTGTACCACTTTGCTTAGCTACACAAAAACTACTAAAGTGTAAATTCTGTAGCTTAATCTCCTTCCTTAGTTCCTCCTTCCAAAGGAAGAAGATTTCTTGCTTATCTGTGGTGTTCCTTTGAGATGAAGAATCCAGGTCATGTGCTAATTTTCCAAAATAAAAGCAAAGGCATATGCATATACAGGTGCAAGAACATATATACACCAATATATCCGTGCATCCCACAGGCGCACCTACTGACAGTGACAGGTCCCTCTGAGTACAGTCCCAGGGCACTCAGCAGATCATGTCATGTTTACTCCCAACTGAAAGGCCCTGAATAGACCTGGGCTAACCAGAACCTTGGTCTCTTTACCCGTGGGATACACGTTTTCTGACAGGGCTCAGCATGCATGAACAGAGACGCGAGCTCTGTGTAGCTCAATCTGAATAGGATTAGGAAATACCCAGACACTCAACAACCTTCTCAGAGGCATGTTTCCTCTCCCGCCAGCTCCCACTGTTGACCTCTTCAATCCCCTGGCTCATCACAGCAGCCGGACCTTGGCCAAGTCCCCCAAGCCCATCTAAGGAGTCAGAATGGAAGATTCCTCTCTCTTTGCCATATCCTGCATCTTTTGTCTGTAGCAAGAATGTCCTGAGGATGGTCATTCTGGGGTCCTTCCGCCCCAGGATCATCCTGCATTGGTATTCTCCTCCCACTCCCTCCTTCTTCACCAGAGGCAGCTCATTTCATAGTATCCTTTAGACTCTCTCGATTGCATGATGGAGCAAGGCTGACCTGCATCCATAGGAACTTTGTTCCTTCTAGCCAGAAGGAACCAACTCTCTTCTGGAAAGAGCCTCATCTATGTTCCCTTCTCTTACACCCCATCGTGCCCACTCAGCAACTAGCAAGACATGACTAATACAGAATCAAACCTAGATTAATACAAAATCAAAACCCACAGGTTCACAAACATCCAACGATGAATAACAGGTTTAACTAAACTTTCAGTGACACGCAAATTTATGTACAGAACACAGCAAAGCAAACAGCACAGATTGTGGAATGGTGGCCAACACCTCTCTGAATCACTTTTAGGGTTCATAAAAGAGAAATCCATCCCCTACTTGGCAAAACTACCCTGAAACTTTGTCCTGCTTCAAAGTCCCTGGAACAACCAACATGTCAACTGAAGATAACCCTTTAAAAAAATAACCTTTGATTGTCCCAACTCTTGTTCTTTTCTAAAAGAGAAAGAGATGAGACCCTTCCCCAGTGAGAGCGACTTTCCCATTCTAAGATATCCCAGACCTCACAAGAGACATTTCAAATAGCTCCTAAGTTCTATTGAGAATTTCCCTTCCCAAACATCTTTTGCTTCTCTAGAATCCACTTAGACCATATGTTAGAAACATGTCACTTCATGATGTGGCATTCCAAGTCAAGCACAAATACTTTTGAGTCCTCCTGTCCTCATGTGTTTCTTCCTATTGGTCATTAGCTGTCTTAAAGCCTCTGGCTTCCTTAACCTTCCATTCGGCCAGTTTTCTCAGACCCAACTTGTACCTATTGACTCAGAATTACTACCTTTCACAGAGATAGTCTCTCACCCAGACAGAAGAAAGGCATTGTCATTTATTAGGAAAGAAAGGCTTCAGGATCTAGCTTCTTGTCAGACTACCTAGAAACTGGCACTTTTAACTAGGACCGAAAGGCAAGCAAGATTCCTTGCCAGGATGTATAAATGTCAGAGAACTATTTCAAAATATCTGAACTAATGCCTAAATGAAGCCAGATGCACCTGTCCAATGCAGAATGCATGCTGCATACTCTAGTTCTCTGCAAGGTGAATTCTGTGCCCATAATATTGAATGCTTGTTGAATTAAATTGTTACGTCAATTAAATTAAATTACAAAGAATAAAATGCCCAAAATATACTCTCTGGAAGTCTTAGACATAAGCAACTCAGAATATCAGTAACAAGCAAATTCAAGCCTAAGAGATTCTTAAGAAAGAAATTAAAAGAACTGAAACAATTTCGGTATCCTCAGCACTTGCTTTTGCAGATATAGACATATAAAAGTCCCACTTAAATACACACCTGAGATTCTGGTTTTCCCTGAAGGCAATTTATCCCACCAATGAAAACCATGTTGGGCATGATGGGCCTGGGGTAATTCCTGACAAAGTCGTCTCTCAACAGCCAGATAGCTGCCGGGTTCAGAAGGTCCTGGACAGTTACATCTCTCTGGAGGATTTCTGAGGCAAGTGGTTCATAGGAACTATAAATTGCTTTGCACAGAAAATTCTCAGCCAGAGAAAAAAGCACATTCTTTGCTCGTTGCAGAAAGGTCATGCGATCTGGGTTTAAGGAAAAAATCCTGGGCACATAAGACATCGGTCTGGGACACTGGGTAGCTTGAGAATCCAGTCCACAGGGCAATGCATTCAAGAAGAACACAGTAGGCAGAGCCAGATACTGGGCCACTATGGGGCCACAAAGAAGGAAAGGGTCTGTCAGCACAGCGTCAAAGCCACTTTCCTGAAGGGAGGCCATGAACTTCTTGTTGTGCAGTAAGTGGGAGCAGATAGACAGAATCACTTCTGCATTCTTTTGGGCTTGCTTGTAAAGTCTGACGAAACGCTGCAGGAAGGGATCGTCTATAAAAACGCTGAGCCCTAAGTTATGAAAAACAGCTTCATAGTCCTCTTTCTTGAAGGGTGCAGGGTACTTCTTCAAGGTGTAAAATGATCCTTCTTTTATATGTAATGAGGCCTCTGGCGCTATGACCACTATGTCATGTCCCCTCTGATGAAGTTGTTGGATGACCCCAAGCATGCTGAGCCAGTGGCTGCCATCCATCGGAATTAACAACAGTTTCCCAGCATGGGTCACAGAGGAGCTGAGCATACATAGCAGCAAGCTAAGGATGAGTGGACGAAGGCTTCCAGACATCACAATCATTGTGTGCCTGCCTTTGGTCTGGCCATGGATCCACCCTCACTTGCACATATGTAGCAAGAACTAAGTTGCATCTGATGTTAATATTTGACTGTGTCCTGTGACTAAAGCTACATGTCCACAAAGACTGCTGCAAGGATCTCAGGAAGCTGACTGGCTGAGATGAAGAGGGTGGGACATGACCTGGTTTCTTACGTGGCTACCAGAGTAGAACTCCTTCCTCAAATCACATTCAAGAATAAACACAAAGGATCTCTGGCACTTTGGGGCCCATACAATAGTCATTTTCATGAACTGATAAAGTGTTACCACAGTATTTTTTTCTGAGCCATCTGTGTCTAGGTTACATAAGCAAATGTTCCTTCACCTCTTAATATTTAGGAGTGTATTTCCACAAGAATAACCATCAAGGAAATGTAACATTGATATAATAATCTGTAGTTTATATTATTTTAAGTGTTTCTCCTAATATCTTTTATATGAATTTCTCCTCTACCCCATAAAATCCATTCCAGGATAATATTTTTATTTCATATCTTAAATCTCTCTTAATCTGAAGAAGTTTGTTAGCCCTTGTCTTTCATGAATTGATAATTGAAGAATACATTTTATAGAATGACAAAACGAAAGAAAATGATTACCAGAAAGGAAAAAGGACCTCTAGGTGACAAAGTAAAGTTCCTTTCCAGAAACAAAATAGACAGTTTGTTTTTAGAAGGCCTTTTTCGGTTGTTTTTTTTTGGGGGGGGGCCTTGAACTTGGGACGTGGGCATTGTCTCTAAGGTCGTTTTTGCTCAAGGCTAGTGCTCTACCACTTTGAACCACTTTCTGGTTTTCTGGTGGTAAATTGAAGAGTCCCACAAACTTTTCTGCCCAGGCTCACTTTGAACTGCAGTCCTAAGATCTCAGCCTCCTGAATAGCGAGGATTACAGATGTAAGCCACAAAAGCCTGGCCTTAGAAGGACTTTTTGAAAGAAAACAACACAACAATAGTGCAACTCTTAAGCCTTCCTTAAGAATGTCTCTTCCACACTGCTCATTTAAGGCTCTGCCTGATTATCTCTATCATTTTTCTTCATTTATCTAACAAATATTTATTGAGTCTGCACAGTGCTGAGTCCCAACAGTGCAGCTGAGACTACCACAGATGAAGTCTCTCCTCCCAGAATCCATATTCCATAAAGAGAAACCGACTCACAATTGAAATGGATTAAGCAGGACCTTAGAGACTGTGAAATTTGTCAGGATGGAAATGAACAGTGTTGTCTTGGGGTAGAGAATGACTGGAAGAAGAAATGCACTTAAGTATAAGTCTGCTCCAAGGAGAGAATATGCTTTCTATATAAGAAAGCAAAATGCATAAGCAAACAAAGCAAGTTCGATTGGACTCATCACACTGATCCAAGGTCCAGGGGAAATTCTGATAATCACTTTGAAGACAAAGAGGACAGGTGGACAAAAACAGAATTGATATTTATTACGCTCACAGTATATGGTCAAGTACTGTCTGTAACACATAGTACATGGTCCCATAGAAGAGGCAGATAGTATCTTCCTCCTTTTACAAAGATACTGAAGTACAGAAGAGCACAAATATTTCTTAGAGTCCTGTGGTAGCTCTTTGACAGAGCTAATAACCAAACACTATATGCTGGTTCACAGTCTCTGCGTTTAACAATTCCTCAAGATCTGCAGTAGTACACAAAAAACAATGTACAAAACCCTGATTGAAATTGTCAGTTAAAAGTCAAAATCAAAGTTGTGAGCCTCACATCATGACCCAATCAAAGCAAATGGGCACAAGGCAAATGGAAGAACCTAGGAACCAAGAAGGTATTCATGCACCACCTGGTGCTTGGTGCCTTGTATGTCCATGGACAAAAGGGAAGTGTCAGGAACAAGTGTGATAGCAACACCCTTCTCCCAAACTGGACAGAGTGCCACAAAGCACTAAACCCTCTTCTCTGGGAATCCACTGCTGTCCAACACAATCCTTATCCTATACAATTGACCATGGACATTACTAGCCAGCCATTCTGGAGAGTGTGCTGGAAAAGTCATGGAGAAACTGCTCACTTTAAAGCTGTAGTACTTCAGCTTGGAACCCTCTCTCTGCTTTAGCCATTCTGATCACCCTTCCCTATTTTTTACTTTCCCTAATTGCTTTATTCACACTGAACTTCATTCCTGATTGGCTTGCAATTTCTGCTTCTTGCATGCTTACCAAGAGCCACCTCAAGGGTTTCAAGTTCAGTCACCTGATGCGATATAAACTCAAGTGGCAGTTTGTCCTGATATTTCACTCAGTCCTATAATCTTTCATGATGAAACTTTAGAAAGTTCATTGGTTAATCGTTTTCCCCTTAGAACTAAGTGACCTCCATTGGTGTGTTGCTTCACAACTGATCAAAGAATATAGTGTTCAGGAGAGAATGAGATAGCGGAGTGAATGAACTCAGATGTCAAGCAACACTGAAAAGGAAATCAGATAATGACTTGGCAGTTTCTGAGGAAATAATCAGTGTAGCCCATGTTTACATATAACATGAAACCACCAACAAAGATAGAACGATTCTGATTTACTAAACCAATGGTTAGCAGAATATGGACAAGGTAACCCTGAGGCTATTCAAGAACTTTTCAGAAAAATTTTACAACGCCCTATGTCCCTTAACAACGATGCTATTTGAATTTTTCACTCTCGGTCTCTCATAAGCACATGCCAGAAGTTACAAATATGTGATATCATATGAGGTTGAACACAGAAGCAGACTTGAGAATCCAGCTCTCAGCTATGAAGCTGGATACTAAAGAGACTTAAAATATGTAAAAAAAGACCCCACTTAATGACTTTTTTCTTTTGAAAGTATTATCTTATATGATTTATGTTCATATGACTACTTCTATGGCTATTAATGAACTTCTGTTTATCCTGTCTGAATTTTGCCTGTAATACATGTGACATACTGAACAGAAGCAAACAGGTGCTAAGGCCAAAAACACTGAGGCTGAAGTCGCACACCATACATAAGACTTTCCTCAGGCCCGGGTTGAGGAAAAACCAGCTCTTGTCGCTGTACCCCCCACCCCCACCCCAGGCGGAGGGGAAAGCCTAACTTGAGGCTATTTGATTTTAAAACAAGTATTGTCTAAGGCACCCAGATTCCCCAATCTCTCTCTTCATCACGTTTAGCTTTGTTCTTCAAGTCTGGAGGCAACCACACCTCTGGACGTGGCAGAGCGCACGGGTGGAGGAGTGCACAGAGGCAGGGCCTAGCTTGGCCCTAGGCCTAGCCCCATGGTTACTAGGCAACAAGGCAACCCTCCCCCCACCTTCCCCGCCACCTGGAGCACTGCATTCTGGGATGAGAAGACCAAGGCAGCCTGAACCAATGAAATGCGGCCACGTCACAAGGGCGACGCTCCGCCTCAGCTAGCAGCCTCAGCCTGCAGCCAGCAGCCAGAAGCTGCTGCTGCCTTTGCCCTGCCCTGGCCCCAGGGCCGCGCCCTGCCCGCCCTCCTCAGCCCCCAACATGGTGGACTACTACCAAGTCCTGGGCGTGCCCCGGCAGGCCTCCACCGACGCCATCAAGAAGGCCTACCACAAGCTGGCGCTCAAGTGGCACCCCGACAAGAACCCCGAGAACAAGGAGGAGGCAGAAAAGAGATTCAAGCAGGTGGCCCAGGCCTACGAGGTGCTGTCGGACGCCAGGAAACGCGGCGTGTACGACCGCTATGGCGAGGCGGGCGAGGACAGCGGGGGCGCCGCGGGCCGCCCCTGCCACGACCCCTTCGAGTGCGTCTTCAGCTTCCGCGACCCCGCCGACGTCTTCAGGGAGTTCTTCGCGGGCCAGGACCCCTTCTCCTTCGACTTCTTCGGGACCCCGCTGGAGAACATTTTGGGGGGTCACAGGACCCCCCGCAGAAGCAGAAGCAGGGGGTTCACACCCCTTTTCTCCACCTTCACTGAATTTCCAGCTTTTGGGGCTCACTTCTCTCCATTCCACACAAGATTCACATCCTATGGTTCTCTGAGAAATGGAGGTCTTTCTTCTTTCTCCAAGTTCTATGGCAGTGGTGGGACAGACAGCTTCAAGTCTGCGTCCACTTCCACCCAAACAATTAATAGCAAAAGTATCACCACTAAAAGAACCGTGGAGAACGGCCAGCAGAGGATGGAAGTAGAAGAAGACTGAGAGTTAAAATCTCTGGCAAAGAGCAGGCAATAAATGGCAAAGAGCAGTTGCATTGACACCTATATAATTCCCTTTGATTTAGTACATTTTGAGAAATAGCATTTTTTTAAGATTGCAAGTGACCTCTATTTTCAGAACAAGTGTATCTAAGATTATATAAACAGTTCATACCAAAGCCTATTTGTAATTATTGTTTGGACCATACAAATAGGATATCTGAGGGTCTTTAAAATTTGTAAATATCTATATGCACTTTGCTATTTATTAAATTTAAAGGCAGGTGAAGATAATTTCCAAGTGCCTGAAAAACCTGTTCTCCACAGTTCCTTGAACCTTACCTTTCCCCATCTGTTGGAAAACAGCCAGGTAGTATGCCCTGAATGATTTAACTTTTGAATGATTTATTTTTTTAACTACATTTTCCTGAAATGTACAGTACTTGTAAAGTAAAACTGAAGATGGGTTAAAGTAGTACATAAATAATAGTGATGTAGGAAGAGTTGACTATTATGTATTATGTTGAACCTAGACTTTTATGAAGCAAGTAAACCTGGTAAAGTGAGTATAATTAGTTCTAGGGCTTCTGTAACAAACTATCATGAAGGCTGAGGGCAAATTATTTAAGTCATCACCTTGAAGTCTCATGGTCTTGGTGACCTATCAGGACTGCACTCAGTCTGACACATTCTGGGAATATAAAATAAATTTTCCAAGGCCACACCATCTTGTTGCCATGTTGGGGACACAGTCAACATAGCTACATAAACGAGAGGTTCACCTGAAAATGTTGAGCAGGGGGGGCGCCAAACGTCCAGCTGAGAAAGTCAAATGTTGGCACAGCTGATGTCCTGTCCTACATGGGGACCTTTTGGGGTCTGATTGTCTTAATAGGTTCACCACAAAGTGTCCCATCCTCCACTGTCATCTCTTTACCCAAGAAAGTAGGTAAAAAAGGAAAACTGAAGAAGGCTAAAAATGCACAAAGTTCGTGACTGCAGAGAGGTCATGGGACTTGAGGACACTGTTGCACACTTGGAATATGTGAGAATAGGTTTAGATATACTTTAGTGCCCCCAGAGGCTGACCTGCATGATAGGACACATAACTCATGGCATGAAAAGAGGATTCAGGATACCCATGGGATTATGGGGCAGCTGGGAAAACCAGTAAAAAAAAAAGTCACAGAGGTATCTGGACAGCTGCTTCCTATGTGATAAACAACTTGCCAGGATTTGAATTTACTAGGGATTTGAAAAAACAAGTTTGTTTACTCATAGGCAAGGAAAGTCATATAAGTGAAGATATTCACTGGTTGTCTGTGGTGGTTTGGGCTCTGAAGAAGTGAGGGATGTCAGGAGTTAGGGGATGAGAAAAGAACAGACCCAGTTCCATGGTTGTGTATGGCGGAAATGGGCAGACAGGACAGAATTGAGTGTATATGTCTCTACACAGTGGGTTAAAGATGGTCCACAGAGTTCAATGGTAAGCAGAGAACCTGGCATACAAGGTCACTCTGGTCATGGATCTATAGGTACAGTTGTAGGCTCCTTTAACAGAGTAAGCAGTCAGGTTTTTGATATGTCTTGGATTTGTACTGTCGAAAATGAACTACTTTTTACAGAATTACAAAGCATTGCATTTAAAGATTTTTCAAACAACTTTTTATCAATTCTCTAAGCTCAGATAATATGTACTACTATATACCTGTACAGGCCATTTATCTTTCATGGATGATTCAAGTGAATGCTAGAAAGCAGGGCATTTTCCTCTTGTGTGGAGATGCACACCTTCAGTCCACTGCCACACAGGCTTTTCATGAAGTCACTATCACCACCCTCCAGAGTGTGGCAGGCTAGGAGAGTCATGCCAGTGTGGGACGCCAGCATTTAAGCAGTCTCAGCAGAATCCAAACATTCCAAGAGCCACACACTTCCTCTGGCCAGAGCTTTAACACAGTGAGTTTTGGGGTTCCATTTACCCCTTACAATGGAAAACTTTAGAAGAGGCCAAGCTGTGTTCAAATACACTTAAATCAGTTTCTTGTTTAATGATGATTCTGTTTTTCTGCAAATAGTAGGTGGTGGGCAGGATAGCTCATGCTGGTAATCATAGCTACTTAGTATTGAGCACTACTGAGATTGGGAAGACTTTGGTTCTAGACCAGCCAGTGCAAAAAATAGTAAGTGGGTTTCTACCTAAAACAAGGATCTCAGTAAAGTGGTGGTATGTGTAATCATAGCTATTTGGGAGACACAAAAAGGAGGAACAATGGTCCAGCCTGGTTTTGGCAACAAGTAAGACCCTATTGCAAAAATACTTTAAAAATAGGGGAGGAAACAGTCTGTGGGAGTAACTTCAGAGGTAAAGTGCCTGCCCACCAAGCACTAGGCCCTGAAATCAAACCCCAGTATTTCCAGACTGGTAGAGAAACACCTTACCTTGACAAATCTATTACTTGCTTATTGGAAATTTATAAGTTTCTCATCTGGATTTTGAATAAACAGATTCCTTTCTTCTTCTCCCATCTTAAACCATTTTAGCATAACAGATAGCCACTGGTTTACTAGGACTGAACTAGGAAATGGTCAATGTTGTGATTACCAAACACACAGCTCATGCTCTGCATTTCCCCAGTAAAAAGTAAGGTTTGTTATATTGGACTTCCCCAAGCAGGGCCCTTTGTGGTTTTAGATTTTCATATAGAAAATATACAATTTGTACCAACTGCTGGTGGGTCACACCTATAATCCTAGCTACTCTGATGACTGAAATCTGGTGGTTTGAAGCCAAACGATGCAAGAAAGTCTCTAAGACTCTGAATCTCCAATGAACTACCAAGAAAAAGCTGGAAGTGAAGCTGTAGCTCACATGATAAGAATATTAGCCTGGAGCAAAAAGCTCAGGGACTGCACCCAGGCCCAGAGTTCAAGCCCCAAGACCAGCAAGCATGCACATGCACACACACATTGTATACACACACATTGTATACACACACATGCGCAGGTGATTTGGATGCATCAAGGAACACAGACAGCACCATTCTGCAGTCACTAACTAGATATGATATGACTGTTGAACACTGCTACTTTATTACCACATGCTGTAAGCTACATTGCACATGAGATTCTGTTGAATTCCAATGAATATGTAAGACCCTTGTGAGCCATCCCCATCCTTTCACAAACAGCATGATTAAAACGACCATGCCAGGTCCTTAAACTTGTACTGCAAATCTGCAGTACTCCCCTGATAGGTCAAGACCCAGCTCACTTCCCCTGTTCCTGCCCAACCTCCCCATCAGGAAGACACTGTTACCTGTGGTAGAAAATCTGATCAATTCTCACCATCGATCTGCCATCTGTCCTGTTAGAAGATGCTCTCCTTGCCTCGCAGGGCTCTCTGTGAGAGGCAGGTTTATGAAGTAAAGGGCTATACACATTTCCAGAGTTTGTCACCAAAGATGATTAGAAGGAAAGACATCAATTTGGAATGATGAGCAGAGAAGTAAGCATTTAAAGTTAAGAATTCCTTTTTTTTTTTTTTAAGTTTTCTGTCTGGAACATCAATTGGATACAGACCTGAGAGAGTGGCTTCCGGTTGCCACAGTTGATGCCCCCAATGAAGACCATGTTGGGCATGATAGGCCTGGGGTAGTCCAACACAAAGTCCCCTCTGAACAGCCACACGGATGCGTGGCTGAAGATATCCACCACCGACACCTCTCTCTGCAAGAGCTCAGAGGCGAGCCGTGCATAAGGGGTAAATGAAAAATCACAAATATACATCAGGGGAAAAGGGTAGAGAAAATTCTTGACCCTCTGCAAGAAGGTCATGTGGTCTGAATGCCTTGTCAGGAACCTAGGAATATATGACGAAGGGTCTGGACACTGAGTAGCTGCCCATTCCAGGCTACAGAATAGGGAGCGTAGAAAAAAAACAGCCGGGATATTCAGGTACTTGGCCAGCACTGCCCCACAGGGAATAACAGGGTCCGTTAACAGCACATCAAAGGCACTGGACTTCAGATGGCTCATCAGAGTCATGTTGTACATGAGGTTCTCACAAGACGTCGTGTGGAACTTAGCCATGATTTTTAAAGTTGCAGCATTTTTTAAAAAGGTCTTCAAATAATGTTCATTTTTAAAGATGAACTCAGAGTATTCACGCATAATATGGTGAAATTCTTCATTGGTGAGTGGAAAAGCATATGCTTTCTTGATGAAGAACTCCTCTTCTTTGATGTGCATGTTCATGTCTGGGGCCATGACCAAAGCCTGGTGGCCTCGATTGTGCAATTCCCTCACCACGTCCCGCATGCTCAGCCAGTGGCTGCCATCCACAGGAAACACCAGCACCTTCCCACCTCTGGCCCAGGGCAGGACACACAGCAAGCACAGCAGTCCTGTGAGCCCTCGAAGGGCTACCTGGAGTCCCATGACCATTTCCCCCAAAGGCCTATAGCTCAAGCCTATAGTTTTCCACCCAAGCTCTGACTCCTACCAGTTTGTTTCTTTGGCTTTATTAATGCTGCCACCTAACACTGTCACGTCATTGGGTGGCATGGTGCCCTGGTATGTTAATTATTACAGAATAAATCTATCCCCGGCTTGCACAACTGCCCTATCCTCTGTTGCACCCAAGCAAAGGTTTATTTTACTACTACTTTTCTCAAAAACTCATCTGACCTGTTGCTCACGCTCAGGAGCATTCAAGTTCATTCCACATTTCCCCCCTAAGGGGAGACCCTATGGATGAACATAGTTCACCAGCTCAGGCCACTACTGATGTCCCACCAAGTTTCTTCTTCATGTGTTCAGCAGATTACTGTCCCGTTCTTGTCTGATTTGCCCTGTGGTTACACCGGACAGACCAGGTTGTCATTGAGTTTCTCTCTTTCTATATCTTTATGCACAGCCATTCATCTATGTTGGGATTCTGTGGTAAGAATTCACCCCCATTAGGGATTCATGTGGATAACAGATTCCACAACGAGAAAGATGTGTTTGCAAAAAATCCTTTGGCTTTAGCTCTTTTCCAAAGGCTAGAGATCCAGAAATCTTTCTCTCGTTTTCTTTTCCAACCATCCCTTCTCTGCTTATTCTGGATGTTGCTGTCTCAGGAAAAAATATTTTTCCAAGTCTAAGATGCTGTCCTTCTACTGGTAGTTTCAATCTGATCGTTTTCTTTTTACTGAGACCCATGCCAAATGACCTGAGTGCAGGTGGAAGCTGTTCAATTCTTATGTTATGACCATACAAGCAAGACACAGATACAGCAGGTTGCTGAAAACTCAGAACTTGCTTCTGAGTTTGATACTGCAACTGTTGTTGTCATTGCTAACCAAGGAACTTGCCAACACTGTATCTACTCAGAGAGGCGCCTAGTTCCAGGTTGTGGGGCTCTACTTCTGCCCAGACTCAAGATGCTCTTTCTTGAGATCTTACATGCTGTGGGTATCTGTGGGAGAATAGTCAACAATATTTTGTCTTACTCGAGATAAGACAGGAAGAAGGCATTTGTAGTTACATGAAACCAATGGACAAGACCACATCTCCCTAGATAGAGGAAAGGATTTAGCACTCCTAAATATGGTTACAATGTCATGGCACTCTTAAATATTGTTACAACACTGGTAATGTTAATGATATATTTTCTTATAAAAAACCTCTGAAATATTTTGTTCCCTTAAATTGTGCAGGGGTTTAGAGAGCTGGGGAGATGTAACCATTTCGTTGACAACTGTTAATGTCCTTCTCTAAGGCTCCCTTTAGTGAGGGACTGCCAGCCATGAAGTCAGTTGGCTCCAAGAGGGCTCTATCACATGCCACTTTGAATCCAAAGTATGACTCTGGCTCCTGCAAGCTCTGGCTCCAGTAGACAGTCTGCATTAACTTTCTTCTATGGGAAGCTTCAACAAACTCTAGATAACCTTGCAACAATTTACACCCAGGCTAGAGAAAGTGTTCTTTTTTAAATATAATTTTATTGTAAAGGTGATGTACAGAGGGGTTACAATTACATATGTAAGGTAATGAATATATTTCTTGTAACTCCCTCATTTTTCTGCCATCCCCCCCCCCCACACACACATAAAGTGTTCTTACCCTGGAGCAGCCCTTCATCTGTACAGATGTCTACACTGATTAATTCAAACACACTCCTTCACTAGCTTGAGTCGACTGCCCTGATTGGTTGAAATACAGTTCTTCATTGGCATGAGTGGACTGCCTTGATTGGTGCAGATACTTTTGTCATAAGCAGTCTGTTCAGCCCACTTTCAGAGGAGCCAGTAGATAATCTATGTTTCCTGGATCTCACAGGATACCTAGAGGAGCTTCTGCTTGCTCACCCAGTATTTCTACTGGGTAGAGCAGAAGGACTCCAGCCAGCTAGTTTGTGACACACCCTGTGAGTTACAGATCTCATAGCACCTGGGCATGATGGAACAAATCTGTAATTGCAGCACTCAGAAACTGAGGCAGGATTGAGAACTCCAAGATAGGCTGAGCTACATAGTAAGATCCTGTCTCAACAACAACAGCAACTACTACTACTACTACTACTACTACTACACACAAACCAAAAATTCCCAAAAGACTCCCCAAAAATCTGGCTGGATGCTGGTGATTCACGCCTATAATCCTAGCTAATCAGGAGGCTGAGATCTGAGTAGTGTGGCTCAAAGCCAGCCTGGGAAGGAAAAATCTGAGAAACTCATCTCCAATTAAACACAAAAAAGCCACAAGTGTGGCTGAGGTTCAAGTGGAAAGAGCGTTAGCCTTGAGCAAAAGAAGCTCAGGGACAGCACCCAAGATCTGAGTTCAAGCCACAGGACAAGTGCGTGCATGTGTGCAAATCTGCAAATATTTAGAGGCTGGCAAAGAGCCTGGAATTAGACTACCAAGGTCACTCAGACGTCATGGGATTTTAGCAGTTCTACCTAGAATTGACAATTGAGACCACACTCAATGATAAGTTTTGGTATGCCCTGGATTGGTGCTACTATAAATAGTTTGCTTTTGGCAAATGTATAGATGTCTGATTCCATTTTATTTAATGAAGGACCACTAAAGATCAGTTCATCTTCTTCCACTAATTCTGTTGTTCTCTACAAATCGGTCAAGTAAAAACATCCTTATCTGGGGAAATTGTTCGACTGACTTTGCTTGCCTTTCCAAGAACAGCCATGTCCCCAGATACTTTTGCTTTTTAGTTTATTTTTTCAGATACAGTTTCATGCTTGGGCCAAGATCTTCCTCCTACCACCTCCAAGTGGATGGGATTATACATATGAAGTCCCACCCCAGAATGTTTTTTTGGGGGGGTCCGGTCGTGGGGCCTGAACTCTGGGCCTGGGCTCTGTCCCTCAGCTCTTCAGCTCAAGGCTAGCACTCTACCACTTGAGCCACAGCGCCACTTCTGGGTTTTTTTCTTCTTTGTTTATGTGGTGCTGAGGAATTGAACCCAGGGCCTCAGGCATGCAAGGCAAGCGCTCTACCACTGAGCCACCTTCCCAGCCCCCCAGAATGTTTTTATATAGTGTCTTGCTGACTTTTTTGCTGGAGTTGCCTTGAACCACAATGTTCCAATCTCTTACTCCCAAGGGACAGAATGTACCTGTAATCCCTAGGGTACACACTGGGCCACGCCCAGAAATATCTTATTCTATTTCTCATTCTTTCCCAGTAAATCACCTATTCCCTTGGGCCTCTGTCACCCCCTCAGTATTGCTTCACTCACTACCAGTCAGATGTTAACAGACTGGGAAGAATCACAAACACAAGCCCAGTCTCTTCCTTTATTACACACAAGTCAGGATTTTGTAAGATGGGTTTCACCTCCTTACTTGTCTCTTGGAGATTTTTTTCACTTAGTAAATTAGAATAATCATGTAGAGTCATGGAGATTATTTCTTTTGTAATATCTACATTTTATGTAAGTCAGGGGAATTCTTTCTCTTGGGAATTTATGAAAAATTTTGGGAAATGATGGCAAAACAACAGGTGCAAGGAGAGCAGGAAAGATTTTTTTTACAAATGCATATTGAAAACAAAAGAGCAAACTCATAGTACAGACAATAAGCTCAGTGCTAAAAATAGGCGATCCCAGGGAAATGGATGGACCTAGAACAAATCATGTTAAGTGAGGAAAGCCAAGCTCAGAGAAACAAATGGCACGTGTCTTCTCTCAAATGTGAAGGGTAGATCTAAAAATACTGGAACATAATAAATTATACAGGTCTCTAGGCATCACACACAGTGAGACTACAAGAAGACACTCTTAGGAGAGGAACAGAAAGGCACAATGCCTATGTGCATCCAAGCATACAAAATAATATTTATCAAAATGAACTCCAGAAAATGGAAACAAAAGGGTTCTTTTGCTGTTTTTGTTTTCTTTTTGTTCTTGTGAGTTCTTTATATGTCAATGGGAGTATAAGGAGTAGCACAAAAGTGGAGGGATAAAGGGTAAACAAATGCAGCAACAGTACTCATTGGGTACTATGTTGAAAATGAACTAGACTATTTATGGGTAGGAATGGGAAGGAAATATTGGAAGAGAGCAAGGGAAAAGGTGGCATTGCCCCAAAAGAAATGCACTCTTCATCTGATTTATGGAACTGTAACTCTTCTGTACATCACCATTATAATAACAATAAAAAATTAAAGGAAACAAAATAGGCAATCACTGAGCTATTCTTCCCAGAATTCAAAGCAAAATCAGAAGAAATTAGAAAGATAAAAATAAAGGATAAACTGTCAAACCCAGATCTTGGAGAAGAGAAAACATGGAGGACAGTGGCACCTAAATTAAAAATGAGATCCAACTATTAAGTAACTTAATAGGAAAACCTTCCAGTTTTGAGTGAGTCATGGCATTATCTTTCAGCTTACTGTTTGTGGGTTCAGACAGATGAACTCACAGAAGTGTTCTAACCCCTGTGAACATGTGACATGGCATGACCAGGGGACTTTGGCAATAGCACTAATGAGGTGTTTTTTTTTTTAATTGTAAAGATACTATACAGAGGGTTACAGTTAACATGAGTAAGGTAATGAGTACACTTCCTATTGAGCATTGTTAACCCCTCCAACTAATGAGGTTTTTGAAAAATTCTCAAATATTTTCAAAAAATTCTCACAATTTTTTAAGTTAAAGGTACATAGATGGAACCAGACCTGGTAGCTCATCCTTATAATCCACAGTACTACATAAGTATGTTAAGAGGACCTGGTGTTGCAAGCTAACAAGGAAAGGTAGCAAGAAAACCTTATCCCAAAATCAAAATAAGAGCAAAATTGCCAAGAGCATAAGTGGTAAAGTGTTTGCCTGGCATGCACAAGGTCTTGAGAAAACCCCCAAGCCACAAATAAGGAAAAATAAAAAATAGAGAGGTGAGCCAGCAGCTGGGACACCACGCCTGTTACCCTAGCTACTCAGGAGGCTGAGATGTGAGGATCTTTGTTGTTGTTGTTTCT